AAAGGGATCTTCAAAAGTCTTTAAACATGAGACTAAGGTAAATTAGTGCTCCCTTTTATGTATGCTGCAGCATTAATGATCAACTCATCAGTAAACATTTATTATAGCTTGACTTAACAATAAACATTTATTATAGGAGCCAGACTGCCTAGATTTTAATCCTGGTTCCATTGCATACTAGTTCTGTACCTTCTTTGTGCCACGTTTCTTTGTCTTTAAAATAAGGATAATAATGGTACCCACCTCATAGGGTTGTTGTGGAGATAAATGAGTTAAGGTATCTTAAGCCCTTTGAACAGTGCTTGGCACATAGTCACTGGTGCTACGTATTAGCTATTACTGTTGCTCTCACTGTCATTAAATGATTCCATGTCCAAGCTGAGTTTGTACTCAGTAGATTTTCATGTTTCTGGAACATAATCATCACCCTTGTGGAACTACTAAAGAATAAGTAACATGTTTATCATGTTATCAGTTGACCGTGTTATCAGATGTCCATGTTATCAGTTCAGAGAAGGGGGCAGTTATGAACTGCAAAATTCTGTGTCTTAAATGGCCGTATGTTACAGTACTTATCTTTAGTTTCATAGGTGAGAGCAATGATTCTTTTAAAACAAGAACGATGGTGAAAATTCAGTTCAATGAAGGACCTGTTTGATTTCCTCTGATGGCAGCCCCAGCAGCACGCCTGCTCAGCCGCAGTGGGAAGGGCTGGCAGCCAGGAATGCAGGATCTCTGATTCACAGAGCTTTGGTTCTTGGCCCTGGGAAGAAGGCTGAACCTGAGCTGAAGTAGCTGGGCTTGTCTCCTTTGTTGATGGAGCCACACCATTTGAAAGCATTGCTCACCGTTTGAGGGCACCTCCTTAGTTTTCTGATGGGCAGGTGTTGGTACTGCTGGTGGGACTAGAAAATTGCTCATTTGTTAACTTTGGTTCAGAAAGTGTAAAAAGGTATCGTTCAGTGAGTGATCGTGATGCCAAAGAAATACTGTGAAGAGTGTTATAACCCGTGAAAGCTGGGCATTTTTGCTTGAGTCAACCTGCCTCCCCTTTCTGTCTGCCTGGTGTGCTGTCTTGCCTCCAGAAAATAAATGGCTTTTGCCTTAAGGTGTGGACCTTGGGTGCCTGTTGTTCACTTTCACCCCCTGGGTTTTTTTTTTTTTTGGTGAGGAAGATCAGCCCTGAGCCAACATCCATGCTAATCCTCCTCTTTTTGCTGAGGAAGACCGGCTCTGAGCTAACATCTATTGCCAATCCTCC